GCAAAAAGCAAAAGGAGAGACACGGCCGCTACACCACGCATAGCCACCACACAACCACAAATGACAATGCACACACCATGAGGCAGTTGGAATCAGTACAGTTGCAGAACTCACACACCGCCCTGCAAACCAGAAGTTAAAAAAGCAGTAGAAAAGAACAACAACGGAGTTGAGAGTCCGGCATGACTCCCAAAAAATAATAAAAAAAGAACTATCAGGCACGACTTTCATTTTATTTGCCAAGCAGCACAATGTAAACAACCACTGGTTTGTGTATACGTAATGCCTGGATTGAATAAATCAAAAAAAAAATCGTACTGTTCCACCAGCCCACACAACTCCCCTCACATTTCATGCGGCATCCGGCCTGTCTCTCCAATCCTCCTTTCGTGCAGTCCGTGGGACGCACAGCCGCAGGGTCGGCACCGCGTGTGGGCAAGAGAAGGAAACAAAAGAGGGAGAAACACGTCACTCATGACAACGTACAGCAAACGAGCATCGGGGAAAAACACAGGGATGCCGATTATTCCAATAGGGCAAAAGCGGCAAAAATAAATAAATAAAAGAAAATAAAAAAACTTAAATTAGTGACAAAACTCAGTGGGTAATGCTGGCAAGCTGCACAGTTATTGTTCCACGAAAAGCCGCAATTCCACCCTCCCTCACACTTCAGCAGAGTGCCACAGTGCCCCACAGCCCCAGAAGCAGAAGCAACAACACCCGAGACACACACCCATGCACGGTGATTTCACCAATTTCAGCCATGGCCAACAAATCCGTGAAATGCCCGTGCTCACAAAAACCGTTGCGCACAAGTGATGCTGCGTTGTGCTCCGATGGGATCTCTGGTTTCCCAGACGTTGTGCGCAAATAATCCTGTGCGGCATCACCGCCACCCGACACGTTAGCACTCGTTCAGCATTTGCTAGGGCTGTGCTGGGCTCAGGCGTAACTGTTGTACCATCCAGAGGTATTAGATCGCTGTTGCTGAGTGAATCGGGGTCGCTGTCCATGCCCACGGCAGTGCGGGCATACGTGTCCTATTCATGCTCAACGTCTTGTTATTCGCTGGCAACTGTCTTGGCGGTGGACGGCTCGTTGCCTCTCGCTGAGCATGCATCTGGGTCCGCTGTGTCGCCACTTTACTCCCGGACAGCCGCGCTCCCTATGGGGCCTCACCGCGCAGCTGCCGGCAGCCTTGCATGCTCCTGCCGAGCGGAGCGTCCTGCCACTGAGCATGGCCACAGACACTTCCCAGTTCCCCGCCTGGCAGCAGCATCCCAATCGCCCACACGAGTTCCTGTCGCCACAGACTCCCTCTCGGCGATGGAGGCGCTCCGCCTTGGCTCGCTGGCGGTGCGCGACGACGTCGCCGAGAAGATTTGCACCGTGCCGCTTTCACTGGCGGATCGAGGTCGCGCAGTTGGCTCCGTATTTTCACCATGACACTGCGGAATCCCACGCAACGTGACAGCGGACGCCGACGCCGTCATGGCTCGATCCCTCCCGCAGGACTGCGTCAATGCCTGGCGCGCGGGCTACCTCACTGCAGTGAAGCGACGGAACCGGAAGGACGTCCAGGAGGAAAAGGAAGGCGCGCACACCGCATGACAGGCGCTCGTCGGCGTGGCGGAACTCTATTCCTGGTGTCAACCCGGAAATCGTGCCCCGAGTGACGGCACCGCGCACAGGTGCGATGCGACTCCTGCCCGCTCTTCGACAGGCCCGCACGCCCTGCATATCATAAGTAACTCCCTGCGTCGGTGGCGCCGTCCTTTCTTTACTGAGGAGATTGGCCCGCCACCGCCTCCGCGGGAACCTCTTCCAGACGTGAGCACCGCAACTCCTTTCCGACCAGCGAGCGGCGGATTGACGTCCACATGCCCAAACTGCGGCAGAGTGCGCTCGTCCGTCCACAATATGACGGCACATGCCCGACGTGCTCAGCCTGGCGTTCCGATAGTGGGAGAGGGCCTCAACTTTGCATGCCGCAATGGCGCCACCGTCTTCTTAACAGGTGCCTCGCGCGCAGGTCGCCACCGAAGTTTCCAAGCACGCCAGCAGACAGGACACGCAGGAAGCACAAGCGCGGGCATTCGAGATGGAACGGGCCCTTCCGCCACCGCCTCATCCCGGATCCCACGTGCTGCCGATCCCCGACGGATCACGGGAGACTCCGCTTCATCCACTGTGGTAATGCCCCGTCGTTGAGAATAAGGACTGTGACTGTTTGGGACTGCCTCAGCCTGCATAACGGTCCGTTTGCGACGGAACGCTTTCCACTTTATTGCTGACGGCCCTTGCGCTCCTCACTCGTTATTTGTAAAAGAGTGCAACCAAAACAAGATAACAAGCTTCTTTGTGATGAATATTGGCTGGACCTCCCGTGGACCAACAATCCGCGTGGTGTGCGGGGATCTCTCCTTTTTATTGTTATTTTGCTTTTTTGTTGCTGTGGGCGCTGCACCTCCTCTTGTGTGTGTGCGTACCCTCCGTGAGGGGTGCCGACACGACGGACCGCTCTCGCCGTATGTGCATGCGGTGGAGCCTTGGATGCGTTGTTTTTTAATTTATGCTTTTTTACTTTGTAGAACTTCTGGTTTGCAGGGCGGCGTTCGAGATTTGCAATTGTACTGATTCCTTCTGTCTCATTTTTGTGTGCGTTGCTGTTATTTTTTACTGTGCGTGACTCTCATTGCTGGATGGAACAGTGTGCGCGGCTGTGTGACGTGTCTCTCCTTTTGCTTTTCCTTTTTGCTCTGCGTTGACGGGGAGTTAGTTTGTGCTGAGGGCTGCACGCAAGTGACAGGAGTGATGGCGATGATGATGACTGGCCGTGTGCTGCTGGTGTGTGCCCTCTGCGTGCTGTGGTCCGTTGCGGCCGATGGAGCTGTTGGTGTGGTTTCTGGTGGGGACGACAACAGTCTGAAAGAATTATTTATTCCAGTTGCGAGATTGCAGGAAAGACCAGAACAAAGAGCAGCAGAAGCAACAGCTGACGCAAAGGCGGCGGCAGCAGCAAAAGCATCAGCAGAAGCAGCTGAAAGAGCAAAAATAGCAACAGAAGCAACAAAAACAGCAACAGCAAAAGCAGAGGAAGCAGAGGCAGCAGCAGAAGCACTGCGAGGTACAACAGTCCGAGAACAGGAGGTAAAAGCAGCAATACATGATCAAGATAATTCAGTCGAACACCATTCTGAAGAAAAACAAGAGCTTCTACAAGAAGAACCGGAACGACAAGAAAAAGAACAGCATGAAAAGCAGCAACACCAACAGCATGAACATTCCGCAGGAAATGGCGACGAACCCGCGAAAGACAATACTGCTAATGGTACAAATGCAAGTGCAATTACGGACGACAGTGACGGCAGCACCGCGCTCTCCCACACCACCTCCCTTCTTTTGCTTCTTCTTGTTGTTGTTGCGTGTGCGGCTGCTGCTGCGGTGGTGGCCGCGTGAGAGTATGAGGGAGAGAGAGCCGTGCACCGCCCGCACACACACTCGTCCTTCTCTCTCTCTGTGTGTGTGTGTCCCCTTGCATGGACTCTCGCCCTCACCTCATCCCACGAAGCACACACATAGTGTGCCCATTGTATATATGCATGCACACCCATGCAGGCCCGTTGGTGCTCTCTTTTGCACCACACGCACCGCTGCCGTCCTGCCTGGCTGCATGGGCGGAGTACCGTAACTACTTTGTTTTTATTTATTTGGTAAATGTTTTAGTTTAATTAATTTTTTTTGTTTACTAATCTTTTGCTCCCCATCTCTTTTTTTTTTTTTTTTGCTTTTGGGGGGCAATCACTGTGGACGGTTTTTTTCTTTTCTACTCTTCCTTCTTTTAATTGTTTCTTCTGCACTCTTCCTGTGAGGGGTGCCGTGTGTTTCCCGCCCAACTGCTCCACTCGCACACCCACCGACACGCTCATGAAGACGGTCCTGTGCGCCTCGCCTGCTGCACGCATGAGGAGGGGCCGCGACGAACGGCGCGCTGAGGGAGCCGTGACGTGTGGGCGTGCGGCGAGGGCCGGTGGGGCGGAGCACACATTTCTTTCCCTCTTGTTTTGTTTTCTTGTGGCCAGGGCGGGCAGACACCCGCAGCGCCACACACACAGCCACACCCTGCCGCCGTGTTTTTATGATTTTTTGCTTTGCGTGTGCATTTCTTGATCTGGCAGTCCCTTCGGTGTCGGCCTCGTGAGCATTTCTCTTCCTTCCTGATGATTTTCTTTTGCTGCGCTCACTCTCCCGATGGAGTGACGCGACTCCCGTCATTTCTGCGTGCTTCTCTCAGTCCCCACACACACGAGTGACTGTGCTCTGCGGGCCGCACTCACGCGCCGATGAGAGGGCTGAGGGGAGCAGCAACACGCAGATGACCCATGAAATATAAACGATGTGCGGACACATGGAGGGTCAGACGGTTGAAAGACATGCAACTATTTAATTTTCTTTTGCAGACAAAATATATGCAGACAGTTTGGTGTGGCCACACGGCAGCCGGCTGCTTTTTTTCAATTTGTGTGGAACAGTAATGGACAATTTTTTTTTCATTTATAATTATTTTGTGTGATGGGGTTTATATAAGTTAAAGAGGAAAGATTTTTTATTCTAAATAAATCTTGTGTGAATTGCCACTGCTTGGACTGCAGTGCAGTTATGAGTTTGAGCGGCCTTCTTCTTGTTGCTTCCGCCATGCACCTCCGCTGTACATTTTTTGTGCGTCTCTTCACATTTGTTGCTTTCTTTTCTTTTCTACCTTTTTGCTTTGTGTTTCTGCAGGCACACACAACCACACACACACAAGATGCACATTGTAGTGGATTTGAATGCTTCTTTTGCAGTGCATGCTGGCAGTTGCGTGTGGCGGCTGTTGTCTTCTTCCGTGGCCATGAGGAGAAGGGAGGGAGGGAGTGCGCAACCCGCGTCTCTTTTCCTGCGGGTGTGGAGCACCGCGTGTGACTGCGTTGAGTTGGGCTCCGTGTCCCATTGAGGGCGGGATGGCTGGAAATTTTGGCCATTTCCCGTTGGCTGTCGAGATGAGCTGGGGGAGATGGAGGTGGATATCTTCTCCTCCTGCATGGTGGGTGGCTGCTGGCGTTATGTGCCTTCCTTGCGTGGATGCCGTCTCGTGGTGTGTGAACTGTGCGGCTGGGCCTGCTGCCCTTTCCGCATGTTGTCTGCTCTCTCTCTCGCTGTATCCGCGGTGCTTCGTCCCTCTCCCTCTTGTTGCATTCTTTTTCTTCTGCCTCACGGATCAGCTGACTGACTCCAGCGACTCCACTACGGGTGACGATGACTGCGGTGATGACGATGGTGACGGCGCTGTGCGGTGTGCGCCGTGTTGGTCCTTGCGCTCTTGTGCTGCTGTTGGGAGTCCTGGAGATGTATCTGGTGCTGCGGATGCGGTGGTTGTGCCGGTGGATGTGCCGGTGGATGTGTTGTGTGCTCCGAGTGGCGGCAGCCTGAGCTATCGCGTGCGTGTGTGTGTGTGTGTGGGCGTGGAAGAAGGGTTCTGCTGCCGGTGCTGAGGCTCAGTATGAGAATTATACTTTCAGTGGCTTTGATGTGCGCATGCATAGCAGGAATGGTGAGCTGGGTGCTGTGTGCCATGTGGCCAATGCGGTGCACACATGTAGCAACTGTGCTGCCAGCTGTGCAGCGAAAGAGGAAGGGGTCACCGTTGCCTTCACGATGAATGTGACGACACATAAATACGCCGGTCCTTATGAATTGTGGTGGCGTCAATTTTCCTCTCGATGGAACCATCCATCCGCCTGCACGGAGCAGCGATGCTGAGCAGACGGGCATCTGTCAGTTGCCGCCACCCCGTGAAGGGAAGGATGACACAAAATCTGGTGGGACAACTGCGCCGCAAGTTAATGCTGAGCCGTCACTTCAACACGAGGATTGGCGACAGTCTGCGGCGGCTGACGCACCCAACACCGTCGATCCGAGTCCCGCATCCAACACGGCGACCAACACGTCCGAGACGAGGCCTGAATTTGCCAGCAATCCGAGCGAAATGATGGTCCCGAATGCATCCAAGAAGAGGCCTTCCTTTGCCAACGGTCCGAGAATATTAGTGGCGCTGAATGCATCCGAGATCATGTCTGTCACTTATGGCGGCAGGGGACACGTTGCTGCGGATAACACGGACGAGGTGAATGAGCGCAACGCCACCGGACACAAATCTCTCGTTTTAGAGAATGGCGTTGCAGGCAGTGGATTTGTTGCTGAGGGTGATGCGGACGGATTGACTCAACGCAATGCCTCTGGACACGAGAAAAAACCCCAATTACGAGAATTCACCGCGCAGTATTCCGGAAACGGTGTGAGTCCCGACGACTGCTTTGCCCTGCTCAACGACGCGAAATTGACACTGCGAGAGTTAATTGATGACGGCACTGTGCGTGTGTGCGTGTATTGGGCGTTGCTGCTTCTTTTGGGATTGTGTGGAGTTGTGGCGGTCTTCTGAGCCGAAGAGTGTGGAATTGCGACTCCTCACGGAGAACATGTGCTGCGTTCCCTGCGTGTTTTCTTTTATTATTTACATGTTACTTTGTTTGTTTTGTTGTTTTCCTGGAATGATAAGTATCGTTGCTGTTCCTTTATTTAATGGTCGGTTGCTGCACATTGTAATGTGTGACGTGTTTCTCTCACTTGTTTTGTTTTTTTGTTGCCCACACGCGGTGCCGGCCTCATTGCTGTGCGTCCCACGGACTGCACGAAAGGAGGATTGGAGGAACAGGCCGGATGCCGCAATGAAGTGTGAAAAGCGTTGTGTGGGCTCATGGAACAGTACAGTCTTTTTTGTTTAATTTCTCTTCTTGGTGAAGGCATTATGTATACAGAAACACACGGTTGTCTTGTGCTGCTTAGCATAAGAAATAAGAATGCTGCCCGATTGATTTTTTTTTAAGTTTTGGGAGTTTTGTTGGACTCCATCAATTTTTTTTTTCTTTTTTTGTTTTTTCCGCTTTTTTAAGTTCTGGTTTGCGGGTCGGTGTGCGAGTTCTGCGGTTGTAATAATTCCATTTGTCTTTTTTGGTGTGCGCTTCTTCTGGCTGCTGCCATTTATTACCATGCGGTGGCTGTGCGTGGTGTAGCTGCTGTCTCTCTCTACTTCCTTTCTCATGCTCCTGCAGATCGAATCTTCGTTATTCAAAAACGATAGTTTCGACGATGATGTGCCGTGTGTTTTGTGTCGTGTTGGTGCTGGCACTGCTGTGCTGCTGCTCGTGCGTGTTTGCCGTGGAGGATGAGCCGCAGGTGGCGCAGGTGGATGCAGAGTGTGCGGGTGACGGTAATGTTGCGCGTTGGCAGCTCCCTGGGACGTCATTGTGGTACAACTGCACGACTGCAGCTGCTGGTTTTGGGCAGATGATTTGCGGCATGGGCGTCGGAAACTGTGAGCCCGAGGATGTTCAGAGACGTATAAAAGATGGTGCGAACGGTGGTGTCTTCACGATCAACGTCTCCACGTTTACTCCAAGCCAGGTGAATAGTTGGTGGCAGCGTAAAGTTGAGTCGAAGGCGGTCACCGTTGCAATTGGTGCAGCAAAACCTCCGGAAGTTCCTCCGGGCTCTCCAGAAGACAATGATTCTCGTGACTCCTCTTCCAGAGCGGATTCGGAATCTCCTCCTGCTGACGCTGCGGATTCCGCTGGTGCCCCTTCACTGGCTGGAGCTCCGGGTGGCGCTGGTGAAAGTGTTCCGGCCACACGTCCGGAAGAAGGACCTCCGGGGCCTCGAGAACACAAGGATTCTCGTGACGCCTCCCAAACAGATTCTGAATCTTCTCCTGCTGTCGTTGAGAATTCCGCGGATGTCCCCTCTCCTCCACCACCTGCAACTCCAGGCGGCGCTGGTGCTAACTCTGCTGCTGGCGCTGCGGCCACGACGGATCCTTCTGCTGCGGCCTCGCAAGCGTCGGATTCCGCTCCCGCTGCTGAGCTTCAAGGCGCAGCACATTCTACTTCTGCTGCTTCTGCTGCATCCGAATCCCCACCAGATCCAAAGCCCACAGGAGGCAGCCACTCCTCCCATGACCCTCCAGTGGAGCTGCAGGAAGAGACTGCTGCTGCGCCACCGACTCAGTTGTCCCAGACCGGCGAGGACGGGGGTGCAGCGGAAGGCGCCGAAGAGGACGCCGCCAACACCACCACCGAGACTGCTTCCGGCGAAGGAAATAATATGGCGGCAAGCATGCCGGCTCCCCTTTCCTCTGCGCCCACAAAGAACGCGTTGGAGAACAGTGTGGGAACTGACGCCTGCTTCCATGAAACCCGTCTGCATGCCCTGCCACTGCTTGTTCTGGCTGCACTCACCTACGGGACACTGGGCTGAAGAAGTGAATGCGGACTATAATTGCCGGCACTCAACGACGGGGATTTGTGCGCTTCTTTTGTTTTATTGCGTAATAAGTAAGAGAAAATAATGATTGTGTGTTTTGCTTCATTTGCTTCAGCTGCGCTGCTGTGTGCTCCACGTTGTTGACCCCTGTATCCGTCACTTGGCACGCATCCCAGACACATTCGTATGGACGACACGCCCACAACTGTTTGAGTGGACGCATTTTTGTGTGAGAATGCATGCACGCTGGAGCCATTCTTTGCAGCCTCTTGTGTTTTGTTTTTTGTGTTTTTACTTTTTTTTTTTACTTTTTTTTTTTTTTTTTTCTGTTGTTGTTTTGTTGTTACTTGTTTTTTGTGTTCATTTTGCTTGTTTTTTGCTTCCTTCGGGGCGTTGTGAGTTTATTTCATTTTTTAATGGTTTATTTTCTTTAATTTTTTCTTTTTCTTTTGTCTTCTTTTACTCCCCCTATCCTCTTCTCTTTTTTGCTTTTGGGGGGCAATCACTATGGACGTTTTTTTCTTTTCTACTCTTCCCTCTTTTAATTGTTTCTTCTGCACTCTTCCTATGAGGGGTGCCGTGTGTTTCCCGCCCAACTGCTCCACTCGCACACCCACCGACACGCTCACGACGACGGCCCTGTGCGACTCGCCTGCTGCACGCATGAGGAGGGGCCGCGACGAACGGCGCGCTGAGGGAGCCGTGACGTGTGGGCGTGCGACGAGGGCCTGTGGAGCGGAGCACACATTTCTTTCCCTCTTGTTTTTTTTTCTTGCGTTCAGGGCGGGCAGACACCCGCAGCGCCACACACACACACAGATGGAGGAGGGAGAAGCAAACAGGAGCGGCACACAAGGCTCCACCGCATGTACATACGGCGAGAGCGGTCCGTCGTGTCGGCACCCCTCACGGAGGACACGCACACGCACACAAGAGGAGGCGCAGCGCCCACAGCAACAAAAAAGCAAAATAACAATAAAAAGGAGAGATCCCCGCACACCACGCGGATTGTTGGTCCACGGGAAGTGCAGCCAATATTCATCACAAAAATAATTCAGTTGCATTCGTTCAGCTTCGGCGCACACCACTTCATGCAGGCCTGGGAACCACAGCAGCAGCACCACACGCTAAAATAAGCGCAAGGAATGGAATAATGCAAGCAGCCATTTATTTGTGTTTCTGTTTGGATGCTGGCATATGTCCGCATGCGTTGTTTTGTTTTTTCAGAGGGGAAACCTTCATGCCTGCATCGTGTGTTGGGATTTCTGCAGGGTGCGCAAGTATTTTTCTTTCCTCTTGTGAATGTTTCTTGTGTTGGTGCAGCCAATAATTCGGTTTGTGTTGTTCCTGCCTTTCGCTGGTAAAGTGCTGCAATAGATGTTTGTTTTTCTTTTCGTTGCTGCGGCACCTGATTCCTCACCGTTTATTGCGGTGGAAATGAAAATATGTGAGTGGACTCCCACACACCAGAATGCACCTTCGCTCCTATTTATTGGTGCATGGAAGGGCATGTGTGTTTGGTGGTGTCTCGTCCATATATTTTGTGGGTGTACATTCCCCAGCAGGCTGAGGGCGGGATGACGCTCCGTCGCGGTGCACTTCCCTCGCATGCCGCCCACTGTGATTCATCATGCATCGCCCCCTCACACATTCCGTAGTGCCACACCGCTGATATTATTGCGGCCGCTGTGATTCCGCGTACTTCACGCATTCGATTGTGCCACAATACATCCGCTCGTGTGGCCGCCGCATCCAAACAGCGGTGCCCAACACCGTGAGCGGCAATCCACATCCCTGCATGTCCCAACGCAGTGGTGTCTGACTGTCAGCCAGGCGTCAGAAAACAAGAGAGTATTGTGCTGGCAGTACAACACACGGAGCTGCAGTGAATGGCTCGGGCGGCGACGCATCTATTTGTCGCAAAGCAGTGAAAAGAAGTCGGGCAAAATAATGCCGGCTGCACTCACGACACCACATCCACAACCAAAGCATGCGACGTGATGTGTGTTTCACTGGTGCTGTGAAATGCCTGCAGACGACGTCACTAGTGGAGGCATGCCACCCATGATCAGCGGACAGACAATAATCGGCATGGGAGGCCACAAAAGGCAGCAACAACGCCAGCAGCAGGAGCAGCTCTCTCTCTCTCTCTCTCTCTGTTGCCTCCGAGAAGTAAATATTCCACCAGCCACAGCTGACTGTGCCATCGTGACACTCCATGCACGTCGTGGCTGCGTCAACACATCCTGTTCCCTGCAGCGCCTCAAAAGATGCTTCACTCCGTCCACTAAGTGCGTCGGTGTGGGCCGTGCCTCGGCTGTTCGTGAGGACCACTACGATGTGAGTGTCACCGCGTCACAGCATGTTTGTTGTGGCGTTGTTGCATGGCACACGCACACACACACACACACGCAGCGCCTGCATCCCTCCCTTTTGTGTCCGCCCTCTGCCGGAGTGGCCACACACACGGGTGGCAGCAAAATCACTTCACCCTCGACGATCCAAAATCAACACCGACATCCCTCGCGACGCAAAGGTCTCAGTTGCCAGCACGGGCTTCCTGCCGCCCTGCCATCGACGCTGAAACACGGCACAGTGCACGCACTTATTTTCCTCGTGTGCAGTCAGCCGTTTGCTTCACACATTCTTCGATGGGCTGACGTCCACAAAAGGCCACTGTGATCGCACAAGCTCTTGCGATGAGCGTCTGTGTGCGCATGGATCCGCTGCTCACACGTGCTGGCAGGCAGCCTGCAGCCGGTGCCCTCGTGCCAGTTCATCGGCTCCAGCACGGAAAAGAGAAAATGGTCCATTCCCGATGCACTTATTCCCAGCAGCAGCACCAACACGCTGGTCGCCAGCCGTCATCCCTCAGCACATCCAGGAATGCCGAAAAGTGACGTGGAGCTGTCAGCCAGCAATGCCACAATCCCCGCACACATGTCGGCTCCACCAGAGAAGACACACAAGTCACAAACAACACCCTCCACATGTCATCCGAACATCATTCCGACACACCGCAACACGCCAAACAGAAGTATTCGTCACTCCAATGCACCTCCCCACACAATCACATATTCCATGCACCACGCACGGCAGCAGCTCACACGCCGTCAAACAAATGTTCCTCGGATCAGTGTTGTCCACATGCTGCGGTGGGAAGTAAACAAAAAAGACGGGCTGCCAAACCCCAAAAGAGTGCCACGACTGGTCGCAGGCCAACGGAACGCAGCCACTCAAACGAATTCAGTCCTCATGCCCTCAACCTCCCACCTTCCCCCACAAAAGCTGCAAAAGATTGAAAACAAACGCACCGTCCAATAAATTCTTTGTGCAACACCAAAAGAAGCCGCAGTGCCTTATGCTGTCCTCAAAGTCCGTTGATGACGCCTGGATGCGGATGGTCACCCATCGGTCCTCACAAACGACGCCGTACATTCGCGACGCATCCTGCGCTCTGAGAAAAGCGTCCCTCACCATCACCAGAGACGCCCACGCACCGTCGGAGGAGACCAAATCGTCAAGGAACGAAGGATACGTCAGGCTGACAGCAAGACATCCGCTGACAAATCACATCGCGGACATCATCAACAGCAACACCAGCAGCAATGCAGTTCACAGAGTAAAGTGGATCAACAGACGCATGGCGTATGTCAAAGAAAAAAACTTGGTAGCGTGACACGGATAAGAAATACTTCCAGTCCATCAAAAGAAAAAGAAGAAAAAATGAAATAGAAAATCATACATCCGCAGTCAAAGCAAACCACTAATCAAAAAAAAAAAAAAAGTACTGGGTGTACCCAACCACAACACAAGTAAAACAATAAATTTAAAAAGCAAACGAAGCGTGGGACGATCAGCGCACACACTCTCATTGCTCCCGTAAAGCAAAACACACACACAGGGAGAGAGAGAGAGAGAGGTCGCCCACTCAATGCAATGGAAACAAAACAGAAACAGTTACGGTGCTCCGCCCATGCAGCCAGGCAGGACGGCAGCGGTGCGTGTGGTGCAAAAGAGAGCACCAACGGGCCTGCATAGGTGTGCATTCATATATACAATGGGCACATTATGTGTGTGCCTCGTGGGGTGAGGTGAGGGCGAGAGTCCATGCAACGGGACACACACAGAGAGTGAGAGAAGGACGAGTGTGTGTGCGGGCGGTGCACGGCTCTCTCTCCCTCACTCTCACGCGGCCACCACCGCAGCAGCAGCCGCACACGCAACAACAAGAAAAAGAGGAGAGGTGGTGTGGGGTATCGCGGTGCTGCCGTCACTGTTTTGTGTATTCGTCGTATCAGTTGTGTTGGCGGTTACTGTCGTTGCTTTTGTATCTTCCCCAGTCCCTTCTGAGCCTTCGTCTTGGTGGCCTTGTGATGTAGCGGCAGTGTCAGGCGGCGGAACATTTTTTTTATCTTCACTCATGGTGTCTTCGCCATCCTGTTCGCGGGAATCAACACCTTCTTCTGGAGGTGATGGAGGATTTCCTTCCACAATTCCAGCAGGCAGTGTTTGCTCCCTGTTAACTGTTTTGAGTGGACTCTCTACTGCAGATGTATTTTCGTCAGTCTCCTTCTTTTTTTCTATCTTCGTTTGCGTAGGATTGGCATTTGATTCCTGACTGCCGGAATGAGGAATGTCCCCAGCAGATACAATTGACTGACGTGTTTGCTGCTCGTTGCCTCTTGAATTCTTTTCCCCGGAATTTGGGTATGATGTAACTGTTACTTCTTGATCACCCTGCTTTCCTATTGGTTTTTCTTCTTCATCTTCCGTCCCTTTATCATCATCATCATCATCTTCTTCATCTTTCCTTGTGGTTGTGGAAGGTACTGTCTCTACAACACCTGGCACTGCGCCTTTTAAGTCTTGCGTGCCTTCTGGGGACTTTTCAGGTGCTTCTGATTCCGGCAGATGTTCAGCACTCCCAAGACCCGCCGTTTCTTCCTCGTTCATTTCGGCACCGCCTCCACCGGCACCGCACCACAGCACGCAGAGGGCACACACCAGCAGCACACGGCCAGTCATCATCGCCATCACTCCTGTCAATTGCGTGCAGCCTTCAGCACAAACTAACTCCCCGTCAACGGAGAGCAAAAGCAAATGAGAGACAAGTCACACATCCACCGCACGCACAGTCACAAATGACAATGCACGCACCATGAGGCAGTTGGAATCAGTACAATTGCAGAACTCACACACAGCCCTGCAAACCAGAAGTTCTAAAAATGCAGTAAAAAAGAACAACGACAGAGTTGAGAGTCCGGCATGACTCCCAAAAAGTAATAAAAAATCGATCAGGCACGACTTTTATTTTATGTGCCAAGCAGCAAAATGTAAACGACCACTGGTTTGTGTATACGTAATGCATGGACTGAATAAAGCAAAAAAAAGATCGTACTGTTCCGTGAGCCCACACAACTCCCCTCACACTTCATTGCGGCATCCGGCCTGTTCCCCCAATCCTCCTTTCGTGCAGTCCGTGGGACGCACAGCAATGAGGCCGGCACCGCGTGTGGGCAACAGAAGGAAACAAAAGAGGGAGAAACACGTCACTCATGACAAAGTACAGCAAACGACCATTGGCAGAAAAACACAGGGATGCTGATTATTCCAATAGGACAAAAGCAGCAAAAATAAAATAAAAGAAAATAATAAAACTTAAATTATTGACAAAACTCAGTGGTTAATGCTGGCAAGCTGCACAGTTATTGTTCCACGAAAACCGCAATTCCACCCTCCCTCACGCCTCAGCAGAGTGCCACAGTGCCCCACAGTCCCAGAAGCAGAAGCAACAACACCCGAGACACACACCCATGCACGGTGATGTCACGAATTTCAGCCATGGCCAACAAGTTCGTGAAATGCCCGTGCTCACAAAAACCGTTGCGCACAAGTGATGCTGCGTTGTGCTCCGATGGGATCTCTGGTTTCCCAGACGTTGTGCGCAAATAATCCTGTGCGGCATCACCGCCACCCGACAAGTTATCACTCGTTCAACATTTGCTAGGGCTGTGCTGTGTTCCGGCGTGGCTGTTGCACCATCCAAGGGCATTAGATCACTGTTGCTGAGTGAATCGGGGTCGCTGTCCGTGCCCACGGCGGTGCGGGCATACGTGTCCTATTCATGGTCAACGTCTTGTTAGTCGCTGGCAACTGTCTTGGCGGTGGACGGCTTGTCGTCTCTCGCTGAGCATGCGTCTGGATCCGCTGCGCTGTCACTTGACTCCCGGACGGCCGCGCTCCCTGTGAGGCCTCACCGCACAGCTGCCGGCAGCCTTGCATGCTCCTGCCGAGCGGAGTGTCCTGCCACTGAGCATGGCCTCAGACAGTTTTCAGTTCCCCGCCTGGCAGCAGCATCCCGAACGCCCACACGAGTTCCTGCCGCCACAGACTCCCTCTCGGCGATGGAGTCGCTCCGCCTTGGCCCGCTGGCGGCGCACGACGACGTCACCGAAAAGATTTGCACCGTGCCGCTTTCACTGGCGGATCGAGGTCGCACTGTTGGCTCCGTATTTTCCCAATGGCACTTCGGAATCCCACGCAACGTGACAGCGGACGCTGGTGCCGTCATGGCTCGATCCCTCCCGCAGGACTGCGTCAATGCCTGGCACGTGGGCTTCCTTAGCGCCGTCGGGGGGTTATAATGGAAGGATGTCCATGAGGAAAAGGAAGCCGCACACACCGCATGACAGGCGGTTGACGGTGTGGCGAGGACTCTATTCCTGGTGTCAACCCGGAAATCGTGCCCCGAGTGGCGGCACCGCGCACAGGTGCGATGCGACTCCTGCCCGCTCTTCGACAGGCCCGCACGCGCCCTGCATATCACAAGTAACTCCCTGCGTCGGTGGCGCCGTCCTTTCTTTACTGAGGAGACGGGCCCGCCACCGCCTCCGCCGGAACCTCTTCCAGACGTGAACACCGCAAATCCTTGCCGACCAGCGAGCGGCGGATTGACGTCGTCCTGCCCAATCTGCGGCAGAGTGCGCTCGTCCGTCCACAATATGAGGGCACATTCTCGACGTGCTCGGCCTGGCGTTCCGATAGTTGGAGAGGGCCTCAACTTTGCATGCCGCAGTGGCGCCACCGTCTTCTTAACAGGCGTCTTGCGCGCAGGTTGCCACCGAAGTCGCCAAGCATACTGGCAGACAGGACACGCAGGAAGCACAAGCGCGGGCATTCGAGATTGACCAGGCCCTTCCGCCACCGTCCCATCACAGACGCCACGTGCTGCTGATCCCCGACGGGACACGGGACACTCCGCTTCATCCACTGTGGTAATGCCCCGTCGTTGAGAATTTGGACTGCGACTGTTTGGGACCGCCTCAGCCGCACGACGGCCGTTTGCGAAGGAATACTTACCACTTTATTGCTGACGGCCCTTGCGCTACTCATTGCTGTCACAAAATAAATTAAAGAGGAAAAAATGCATCTTTTCGCAATAAATATTGGCTGCACTTCCCATGGACCAACAATCCACATGGTGTGCGGGGATCTCCTTTTTTTCATTGTTACTTTGCTTTTGTGTTGCTGTGTGCGAGCTGCACCTTCTCTTGTGTGTTTGCGTACCCTTCGTGAGGGGTGCCGACACGACGGACCGCTCTCGCCGTATGTGCATGCGGTGGAGCCTTGTGTGCCGCTCCTGTTTGCTTCTCCCTCTTCCATCTGTGTGTTGGTGTTGCGGCAGGGCTGTGTGTGTGTGTGTGCCTGCTGCCGTGGATTGGAGTGTGTGTCGTGCGTGGTGTGCGGCGTACGGTGCATGCCTGGCTGCTGCCCTCTCCTCATGTGGTGTGCCCTCTGTGTGTGTGTCTGCCGCACCTCTCGTCTCCCCTGTTGCTCTCCATGTCCCTCACTGTGCAGATCAGCTCCACACCACTGAACGACCACACTCACGATGACGACGTGCCGTCTGCTGTGCGCCCTGTTGGTGCTCGCCCTGTGCTGCTGCCCGTCCGTGGGCGCGACAGCGGTTGTCGTGGAAGGAGGTGACAGCAGTACGGACTCCGATACAAAAAAGGGTGTAGGTGGGGCAAACGGTAAGCAAAATGGAAAAAGTGGGAGCCCAGCCCTGACGACCAAAGAGTCAGCGGATGAAAATGAGAACGGTACGCAAGTCATAGAAGGCAGGCCCACCGATGTGATCTCCAACAGTGATGGTGCGTCCGGTGAGCCAGGGAAAACAAGCGCTGTGGATCAATCCCCCAAAAAAACAAAATTGGAGGTTCCTGTGGAAAAAACGACGACCACGACGACAACCACAACGACCACAACTACAACAATGGCACCAACTACTACAACAACAACCACTGCGCCGGAGGCACCAAGTACTACGACTACAGAGGCGCCAACCACGACAACCACCTTCGCACCGTCACGTCTTAGCGAAATGGACGGCAGCCTCAGCAGCTCTGCGTGGGTGTGTGCCCCGCTGCTGCTCGCCGTATCCGCGCTGGCGTACACCGCTCTGGGCTGAAGAGGTGTATGCGGGCTGTGCGTGCCAGCACTCAACCGCGGGGATTTGTGTGCGTCTACTGTGGTCCGATGTAAATAAATAATAGAAAATAATGATTGTGTTTTGCTTCATTTGCTTCCGCTGCCCTGCTGTGTGCTCCGCGTTGTTCCGCACATCCGTCACGTTGAGCGCATCCCAGACACTCGTATGCTCAACACGCATACAACTGTTTGCGAGGACGCATGTTTGTGTGGATGGGTGCATGCACACTGGAGCCATACTGTGCAGCCATTTGTTTTTTTTTTTACATTTTTAATTTATTGCTTTTGTTGTGCTTTTTTATCTGTGTTTACTGATTCCAACTGCCCCATTTTGTGTGCAAGCTACTTCCATTTGTCACTGTGTGGTGACTGTGCGTCTTTTTGTGACTTCTTTTTTTTTTGCTTTCACTCTGCGTTGACGGGGCGTTAGTTTGTGCTGAAGGCTGCACGCAAGTGACAGGAGTGATGGCGATGATGATGAGTGGCCGTGTGCTGCTGGTGTGTGCCCTCTGCGTGCTGTGGTGTGGTGCTGCCGTTTTGGTGTCGGCGGCCGGTGATGTTGTCGATGGCGATGGAAGAGATGTTGATAGTGAATCTTTGCTGGAAAGCGCAGAAAGTGGAATGTCATTACCAAGCAGCCCTGAATCACGTATAAAGTTAAAAGCAGTTTCAAATCCACCGCCGAAAGACGTGGAAGAAGCACATACACCCGCAAAAGAATCTTCGGGAGAAGAAGATGAAGCAGAAGATGAAGTAACAGTAAAAAGTGAAGAAAGACAACAACAAGAAGACGAAAATGCACTAAAAGTGAATGAAAGGAAGACACCCGAACTTTTAGTAAAACAAAATGAGACGCCACAATCTCGAGAAGGAGAAAGAAGCCTAACAGCAACACCAATAAAAGGATCACCGACAACACCAGGACCACAAGCACCGACGCTACAAGTACAAGCACCACCACCACCACCACCAGCAGCAGCAGCTTCCGCTGACGGTGAAGCCGATGGTGGTCCCGTTGGGGTTGAAGGTCCCATTTCCGGGCCACCCTCAGGTGGTGCTTCTTCATCTCCCATTTCCATCGATGGAGACGCTTCAGGGAATAATGGCGGTGCACTATCCACTCAGGACACGACATCTTTAAAAAACGATGAGCAGTCAGGGCCAACAACATCTTCAGGGAACGCACCACTCAACAGGGAGACACCGGAGAGGTCAACACCCGATGCACAACGGCACTCCTCTGATACACAAGAAAATGAAACGAGTCGACTTCCTGATGGGGATGCAAATTACAGCGCCGTGGGGCAGAGTGCCGTGGGGACAAAAGGCTCTTCCGGCGTATCGACTACCGCCAGCAACGCACCAACAACACCTCAACCACAACTGCCAGCACCACCAGTACCACCAAAAGCGACAGTAACGGGAGCGCCGGCAGAAAAACCAACTGCAGAACGATTACCACCACCGGCAGATTCAACACCAGGAGAAGGCCTAGCAACAACAACTACAGCTCAAACGAATGGTACGGCGACACCTGGCGACAGCGACAGCAGCACCGCGGCCTCCCACACCACCTCCCCTCTTTTGCTTCTTCTTGTTGCGTGTGCGGCTGCTGCTGCGGTGGTGGCCGCGTGAGAGTGAGTGAGAGAGAGCCGTGCACCGCCCGCACACACACTCGTCCCTCTCTCTCTCACTCCCTGTGTGTGTGTCCCCTTGCATGGACTCTCGCCCTCACCTCATCCCACGAAGCACACACATAATGTGCCCATTGTATATATTGCATGCACACCCATGCAGGCCCGTTGGTGCTCTCTTTTGCACCACACGCACCGCTGCCGTCCTGCCTGGCTGCATGGACGGAGCACCGTAACTGTTTTTGTTTTTGTTTCCATTGCATTGAGTGGGCGACCTCTCTCTCTCTCTCCCTGTGTGTGTGTGTTTTGCTTTACGGGAGCAATGAGAGTGTGTGCGCTGGTCGTCCCACGCTTCGGCTTTTTGTTTTTTATTGTTTTTCATTGTTTTGTGGTTGAGTGCACTCATTCGGCGGACTGTGTGTGTGTGTGTGTGTGTGTGATGATATGAGTAATTTGCGTGTGTGCTATCAGTATCTCTCTGCCGTTGCTTTCTTTGGACTCTCTTGTGCGGCACAGCTGCTCTGCATGCATAGGCGCTGACAAACACACAAGCACATGCACATAAACATGCCATGTCGCACACGCCGTGGAGCTGAGTGAACGCTGAGAACGCACGCACGCACAATATTCTGACGGCGGCGGCCCTTCCTAAGAGGGTTGTATTGAGCTCGCGATTTGTCTTGTTGACGTGCTGCTGGTGTGTGGTCGATTGGGTGGCATCGAGTGTGCCTGGGACAAGTGTGGATTAATTTTTTTCCAGCAGCTGCAAGTGCTGACGTGTCTCTCCCGCTGTGGATTTGCCGATATTCTTTGGCTGTGCGGGGTGATGTGCGCTGGCGGAGGAGCGGCATCCAGCAGGGACTAAAGTAAAACGAATCGCGGCAGCACGTGGGTGCTGCGAAGGGCGTCTGTGTCTTTTGCGTTCCGCTGGTTGATGTGTGTGTTGGTGTTACTCGGTGTGTGCAAACGCGTGGTAGAAGCGCCCGCCGTGACTCCTGCTGCTGCTGGTGGCAGTCGCTGTGTGCTCCCGGTGCACTGTTCATCTCCTGTTCCGTGTGTCTGTGTGCGTGAGTTGTTGTTGTTGGGAGTGACTGCGGCGGGGATGATGGTGCCACCCACTGTGGGTGGGTGACGGTACTCATAGTTCCATTTCTTTGTATTTTTTTATTTTTTTTCACTCTCTTATGAAGAAAGCAAACAAGCGCTAATTGCTACTGTAAAATTCGAAGGCACTGAAACGACCAACAACAGCACACACACCGCACACACTCATATTAATATGCTCTCACGTGCTGCTGCAGTGAAGGCACCCCGCACACACAACCGTCGCCGCGTGACCGGATCCAGCGGAAGGAGGAGGGAAGGAAGAGAGAGTGAGCCACAGAGGCCCAACATGTCCCGGCGTGTGTTTACCTCTGCGGTGCTGCTCCTCCTCTTTGTGATGGTGTGCTGCGATACTGGAGTTGCGCGTGCAAAGAGGGTGGGTGATCCAAAGCCTATGGTTATTTTTGTATGGTGGGAAACGAAGGTGTCTTCTGGCGCATTGAAGGGGCAACAGCTATGGAGAAAATGGTTTCAAATTCTTTATTGGCCGTTTTCTTGTTGAAATACTATGGCTTGATTGTGGGTATTGCCAAGGCCAATTAGGGAGTCCCTTCTAGTGCCAGTGTTGGCATTTGGGCAAAGTACTTGAGTTTTACACGGGAGGAGTGGGAGAAAGGAATCGCAGCGGAGAGCGTGACAGACTGGAGGACGGTCATTGCCGTGGAACGAAGAGAAGAGGCGGTTCACGCGTCTCAATTGAACGGTCCCAAGGCGTTGACGAAAGACGGCAATATTTTTCTGCCTGTGGAACGCCTTCCTGCGAAAAATGCCAGCGCGATTTTGGAAACTCCACACATTTGGGAGCTTGTGCCTTTTTAAAGGTAAGGTTGTTGGTCTCCAACGATGTGGTAAGGCGCATCACGTGGGGTGCTGGGAGCCCTTCCAAGGCTGTTGTTGACGGTCAGCTACGAGCGAAGTCATGGAATGGGTTCTGGGGTATTGGCGGCAGGGGCGTGGTGGCGAATGGCACCGCGATTGTGTTTCCCCTTGTGACTGTGAAGGGGGACAACACAAAAGTTTGCGCCATCATCCATTCGAAGGGCTGTGGCGGGAATTGGGGGTTCCCTGCGGAGGGTTTTGCTGATGGGATTGCGCTGATCCCGATATTTTCGAGTGGGAGGGAAAACTCCTCATGGTCGCCACGCATGGAGGCCATGACGGGAAAGTGGATGAGTCCGGTGAAATGGGGGAGGAATGGATGTAATTCGGCGGAGCACATTCGAATGTCTTGAGTGAGGCCTTGAAGAGTGCTACGACTGGTGGTCGACTCGACATTGTGACGGCATCCATCGAGGGGAGGAGTGTAATGCTGTTTGCCTTTCCCAGGCAGAATAATATTCGGAGAGCCACGAGCGTGTTGCGTCTTTATATGACTGATATGAATCGATTTTACCCCATTGGACCGTTATGTGCTGATGGTGTTTTCAAAAACGCAGATACTCTGCAGTACATGGGTGGTGAACTGTTTGCCCTGTACGAGTGGAATGCAGGACAAGGGCGTGTTGTGCTCGCACACCTCACTGAGCAGCTGGATGAAATAAGGACTGCGCTGAAGAATTGGGATGCAGTCGACAAGAACGTCGCAACGCCTTGCACTTCCACCAGCAAAGAGGGAACCGCATCCGACGGTGCCTGCAGCACTCCTATGCCCGCGGATGGACTGGTCGGATATTTTTCCAACGAGGGTGAGAGGGATTGCTGGGTGAGGGAATATCTCGCGGCGAGTGCCACGGTGGTTGGGACGGCAACGAAGGTTGAGGGCGGTGCGACGTTTGAGGGGCCTGGAGTGTGGGCAGAGTGGCCTGTGGGTAATCGGTGGCGAGATCAACGATTCCACATTGTGAAGAAGGAGTTCACTCTTTTGGTGACGGTGACGATTGGGTCGGCTCCTGCGGGCAGCGGCAGCGCCCTTATGGTCGCTGTGGGTGGCGCTGGGAGTGTGAGGATGGTGGGACTGTCAGTCACGGCGGACAATAAGCGGTAGGCGACGTTTGACGGTGAGGCGGGAGAAGTGCAGCACGGGAACTGGGGGCTGGAGAGAACGTACCGGGTGGCATTTGGGCTCCACAACGGCATGGGCACCGTGTGCGTGGATGGGAAAACTTTGGGGAGCTCAGCAACGACAGTTACACGTGGGGCGCAGTTGCTCGACGTCTCATGCTTCTACGTTGGAGGTGACGGTTGCAGTGGCTCAGGCTGCAGTCAGGTGACGCTGACGCATTTCTGTCTGTGCAACCGCCCACTGACCAGGCAGGAACTACAGATGCCCCTTTTGCGTGGCAAGCAGACTGAAGCGGGTTGCAAGGAGGGAAAAGCGACACTGCGCCCCGGGAATTTTGCGGCCAAACTGCCACAGGATCCGGGCATTGACGCGGCTGCGGGGGAAGCGGTGCCAGTGCCCGCCAAAAGGGGGAATTTGGCGCGGGAAACAGCATCACTGATGTCAATGGCTCTACTGTTTTATTGTTCCCAAAATGAATTGGTGACGGTGCCGTCCATGGGTGTGTGCCTTGGGCATTTTCTGCCTTTACTTCAAGGAGTGTGTGGAGAATTGGCATTTTTATGAGCCGTAGAATGCGGTTGTGCGATTTCTAATGGACAGTACATGCCGCCTTTTCCGCGCGTTTTCTCTTCTTTTCTTTTTTAATGATTCGTTGTTATTGTCTGCTGCTGCGGGTGCATGGATGGGATACTCAGCAGCCCTTCTTTTTCTTTTTCCGTCCGATGGTTAATCGCCGTACATTTCATGAGTGAAGTGTTTCTTACTTTTATTTGTTGTTTGTGGCCCACACCGTCGCCAGCCTTACTGCTGTGCGTGCCGTGGACTGCACAAAAGGAGGATTGGAGGAACAGGCCGGATGACTCACGAAATGTGAGGGGTGTTTTGTGTGCTGGTGGAACAGTACGATCTGTTTTATTTTTGATTTTATTGTTTTTACTTGTGCAGGCAATATGTATAGACAAAAACACGGTCGTTTTGTGCCACATGGCACATGAAATGAAAGTCGTGCATCATCATTTTTTTATTTTCTGCTTTTTGGGAGCCCTTCCGGACTCTCAACTATGTTGTTGTGCTTTTTTACTGCATTTTTAACTTTTGGTTTGCAGGGCGGTGTGCAAGTTGTGCAATTTTACTGATTCCATCTGCCTCATGGTGTTGCTGGGATGCTGTTGTTGTCACTGTTTGGTGGCGTAGCAGCCGTGTCTCTCCCCTTTCCCTTTCACTCTGCGTTGACGGGGAGTTAGTTTGTGTTGAAGACTACACGCAAGTGACAGGAGTGATGGCGATGATGATGACTGGCCGTGTGCTGCTGGTGTGTGCCCTCTGCGTGCTGTGGTGCGGTGCCGGCGGTAGATGTGACGAGGAGGGGATAGCAGCTCCTGTGAGTGATGGTGGACCTCCGCCGGAATCAAAAGAACTTGGAACGCCTCGACAAGAAACCCAAGATTTAAAAGTTGGATCACCAGATGTTAATGGAAAAGTGCCACCCACATCTTCCACACATATAGAGAAAGCTGAAGATGAAGGTATTGATGATGAAGATGGAGAAGAAAAGGATAAAAAAGACGAAAATGAAAAAAATAAGGTACAACCCCAGACACACAAGGGTAAAAAAAATGAGGGGGTACCGCCACCCGCACCACCATCGGGTGGACCTGCACCATCATCAACAGCAGGTGAAGGGGGCCCAACAGCAGAAAAAGAAAGCTCACAGAAAGTAACCAAAGCAAAAAAAGAAAACACACCGTCAGAATTCGAGACGGACTCAGAAGCACCGGAAGCACCTTCAGGGGATGCTACACAAGGGCAGCACAGTCATGACACAGACACAGAGGATTCGACGAAGAATGCAGCAACCGGCAGTCTAGCAGAAACAACAACAACCTCATCTACCTCTACAAGTGGCAGCGGTGATCATGTCCAGAATAAGGCAGATGAGGATGATGCTCAAAGCTCTGAAGGACAACACGACAGTATTGAAAATGGCAATACCAACGTTGTTCCAACACTCAGTGAGACAGCACCTCAAACAGCAGGAAAAGCTACCACCGCTGCTCAAACAAATCATACGGCGACGCCTGGCGACAGTGACAGCAGCACCGCGGTCTCCCACACCACCTCCCCTCTTTTGCTTCTCCTTGTTGTTGCGTGTGCGGCTGCTGCTGCGGTGGTGGCCGCGTGAGAGTGAGGGAGAGAGAGCCGTGCACCGCCCGCACACACACTCGTCCTTCACCCACTCACTGTGTGTGTGTGTCCCCTTGCATGGACTCTCGCCCTCACCTCATCCCACGAAGCACACACATAATGTGCCCATTGTATATATGAATGCACACCCATGCAGGCCCGTTGGTGCTCTCTTTTGCACCACACGCACCGCTGCCTTCCTGCCTGGCTGCATGGGCGGAGCACCGTAACTGTTTCTGTTTTGTTTCCATTGCATTGAGTGGGCGACCTCTCTCTCTCTCTCCCTGTGTGTGTGTTTTGCTTTACGGGAGCAATGAGAGTGTGTGCGCTGGTCGTCCCACGCTTCGGCTTGTTGTTTTATTGCTTTTACTTGTGTTGAGGTTGAGTGCACCCATTACTCCTTCATTTTTTTTTTTTTTGATCGGTGGCTTGCTTTGACTGTGGACGCCTAATTACTCTTTTTTGTATTCTTATATTGTTTCTTTCTTGTTGAGAGAGTGTCATTCTCTTGTATCCTTGTGATGCCACCAAGATGTTTTCGTTGACATACGCCATGCGTCCGTTGATCGATGTTACTCTGCTGCTTGTGGCGCTGCTGCTGTTATTGATGATTTCTGCGATGTGATTTGTCGGCGGATGTCTTGCTGTCAGCCTGACGTATCCTTCGTTTCTTGACGATTTGTTGCGTACCGACGGTGCGTGGGCGTCTCTGGTGATAGTGAGGGACGCGTGTCTCAGAGCGCAAGATGCGTCGCGGGTGTGCGGCGTCGTTTGTGAGAACCGATGGGTGACCATCCGCATCCAGGAGTCATCAACGGACTGTGAGGACAGCATAAGGCACTGCGGCTTCTTTTGGTGTTGCGCAAAGAATTCATTGGACGGTGCGTTTGTTTTCAATCTTTTGCAGCTTTTGTGGGGAAGGTGGGAGGTTGAGGGCATGAGGACTGAATTCATTTGAGTGGCTGCGTTCCGTCGAGTTGCGGCCAGTTGTGGCACTCTTTTGGGGTTTGTCCGCTCGTCTCTTTTGTTTACTTCCCACCGCAGCCCGTGGATAACACTGATGCGAAGAACATTTGTTTGGCCGCGTGTGAGCTGCTGCCGTGCGTGGTGCATGGACTATGTGATTGTGTGGGGAGGTGCATTGGAGTGACGAATACTTCTGTTTGGCGTGTCGCGGTGTGTCGGAATGATGTTCGGATGACATGTGGAGGGTGTTGTTTGTGATTTGTGCGTCTTCTCTGGTGGAGCCGACATGTGTGCGGGGATTGTGGCATTGCTGGCTGACAGCTCCACGTCACTTTTCGGCATTCCTGGATGTGCTGAGGGATGACGGCTGGCGACCAGCGTGTTGGTGCTGCTGGTGGGAATAAGTGCATCGGGAATAGGCTGTTTTCTCTTTTCCGTGCTGGAGCCGATGAACTGGCACGAGGGCACCGGCTGCAGGCTGCCTGCCAGCACGTGTGAGCAGCGGATCCATGCACACACCGACGCTTATCGCAAGAGCGTGTGCGATCACAGTGGCCTTTTGTGGCGTGCTTTTGTGGACGTCAGTCCATCGAAGAATGTGTGAAGCAAACGGCTGACTGCACACGAGGAAAATAAGTGCGTGCACTGTGCCGTGTTTCAGCGTCGATGGCAGAGCGACAGGAAGCCCGTGCTGGCAACTGAGACCTTTGCGTCGCGAGGGATGTCGGTGTTGATTTTGGATCGTCGAGGGTGAAGTGATTTTGCTGCCACCCGTGTGTGTGGCCACTCCGGCAGAGGGCGGACACAAAAGGGAGGGATGCAGGCGCTGCGTGTGTGTGTGCGTGTGCCATGCAACAACGCCACAACAAACATGCTGCGACGCGGTGACCCTCACATCGTTGTGGTCCTCACGAACAGCCCAGGCACGGCCCACACCGATGCACTTAGTGGACGGAGTGAGGCATCTTTTGAGGCGCTGCAGGGAACAGGATGTGTTGACGCAGCCACGACGTGCATGGAGTGTCACGATGGCACAGTCAGCTGTGGCTGGTGGAATATTTACTTCTCGGAGGCAACAGAGAGAGAGAGAGAGAGCTGCTCCTGCTGCTGGCGTTGTTGCTGCCTTTTGTGGCCTCCCATGCCGATTATTGTCTGTCCGCTGATCATGGGTGGCATGCCTCCACTAGTGACGTCGTCTGCAGGCATTTCACAGCACCAGTGAAACACACATCACGTCGCATGCTTTGGCTGTGGATGTGGTGCCGTGAATGCAGCCGGCATTATTTTGCCCGACTCCTTTTCACTGCTTTGCGACGAATAGATGCGTCCCCGCCCGAGTCATTCACTGCAGCTCCGTGTGTTGTACTGCCAGCACAAGACTCTTTTGTTGTCTGACGCCTGGCTGACAGTCAAACACCACTGCGTTGGGACATGCAGGGATGTGGACTGCCGCTCACGGTGTTGGGCACCGCTGTTTGGATGCGGCGGCCACACGAGCGGATGTATTGTGGCACAATCAAATGCGTGAAATATGCGGAATCACAGCGGCTGCAGTAATATCAGCGGTGTGGCACCACGGAATATGTGAGGGGGTGATGCATGCCGAATCACAGTGGGCGGCATGCGAGGGAAGTGCACCGCGACGGAGCGTCATCCCGCCCTCAGCCTGCTGGGGAATGTACACCCACAAAATATATGGACGAGACACCACCAAACACACATGCCCTTCCATGCACCAATAAATAGGAGCGAAGGTGCATTCTGGTGTGTGGGAGTCCACTCACATATTTTCATTTCCACCGCAATAAACGGTGAGGAATCAGGTGCCACAGCAACGAAAGGAAAAACAAACATCTACTGCAACACTTTACCAGCGAAGGGCAGGAACAACACAAACCGAATTATTGGCTGCACCAACACAAGAAACATTTACAAGAGGAAAAGAAATAATTGTGCACCCTGCAGAAATCCCAACACACGACCCAGGCATGAAGGTTTGCCCTCCGCAAAAACACAACAAAACGCATGCAGACATCTGCCAACATCCAAACAGAAACACAAATAAATGGTTGCTTGATTTATTCCATTCCTTGCGCTTATTTTTGCGTGTGCGGCTGCTGCTGCGATGGTTCCCGGGCCTGCATAAAGTGGTGTGCGCCGAATATGAATGAGGGCCGAGGGCAACTGAACTTTTCTTCTGATGAATATTGGCTGCACTTCCCGTGGGCCAACAATCCGCGTGGTGTGCGGGGATCTCTCCTTTTTAATTGTTACTTTGCTTTTGTGTTGCTGTGTGCGCTGCACCTCCTCTTGTGTGTGTGCGTACCCTCCGTGAGGGGTGCCGACACGACGGACCGCTCTCGCCGTATGTGCATGCGGTGGAGCCTTGTGTGCCGCTCCTGTTTGCTTCTCCATCTTCCATCTGTGTGTTGGTGTTGCGGCAGGGCTGTGTGTGCGTGTGCCTGCTGCCGTGGATTGGAGTGTGTGTCGTGCGTGGTGTGCGGCGTACGGTGCATGCCTGGCTGCTGCCCTCTCCTCATGTGGTGTGCCCTCTGTGTGTGTGTCTGCCGCACCTCTCGTCTCCCCTGTTGCTCTCCATGTCCCTCACTGTGCAGATCAGCTCCACACCACTGAACGACCACACTCACGATGATGACGTGCCGTCTGCTGTGCGCCCTGTTGGTGCTTGTCCTGTGCTGCTGCCCGTCCGTGTTTGCAGAAGAGAGTGAAGGTGTAAAAGATAGATCTGAAGAAGATTCCATTCCAACAATTTCTATGCCAGACGAACCAGGTCAGGAAACGGATCCGCCAAGTAGAACTCCTCCACCAGAGAATAAAGAAGAAGGGAGAGGGACGGAACAGTCACATACAAAGGGTACAATAACCGAAACGCCACAGTCACAAAATACTTCCAATAGTACAAAGGATGAAGATGGTGGGAAGTCTAATGAACGGACAGAACATACGAATGCCGTTACGGCAAATGAACAAAAGAAGGCCGCCGCACCAACTACGACCACGACGACTACTACAACAACGACGACGACCACAAAGGCGCCAACCACGACGACCACCCACGCGCCGTCACATCTTCGCGAAATCGACGGCAGCCTCAGCAGCTCTGCGTGGGTGTGTGCCCCGCTGCTGCTCGCCGTATCCGCGCTGGCGTACACCGCTGTGGGCTGAAGAATTGTATGCGGGCTGTGCGTGCCAGCACTCAACCACGGGGATTTGTGCGCGTTCACTGTGGTCCGATGTAACTAAATAAGAGAAAATAATGATTGTGATTTGCTTCACTTGCTTCCGCTGCCCTGCTGTGTGCTCCGTGTTGTTGCTCCCTGTATCCGTCACGTTGAACGCATCCCGGACACACTCATATGCATGGCACGCATACAACTGTTTGCGTAGATGCATGTTTGTGCTGGTGCATGCGCACTGGGGCCATTCGGGTGAAATTTTTTTTCTGTGTGTTTTTAATTCTTACTTTTTTTCTTGCTGCTGATTTTTTGCTTTGGGTTTTTTTTAATTGCTTTTTGTGTTTTTCTTGTTGTTAAATTATTACTGGGCGTTGTGCGTTTTCTGGCTTTTATTGGTTTAATGTTTCTCATGAAATGCGTGCTGCTGGTGTTTTTTACTGTGCCGTGTCTTTTCTTTTTGCCTTCACTCTGCGTTGACGTGGCGTTGGTTTGTGCTGAAGGCTACACGCAAGTGACAGGAGTGATGGCGATGATGATGACTGGCCGTGTGCTGCTGGTGTGTGCCCTCTGCGTGCTGTGGAGCGGTATTGATGGAGTTGCTGAGACCGAGGAACCTGGAATTGATGTGGCGCCCGGTGTGGATGAGTATTTGGTTGTGGAGTGGCGCGCTCAGCTGCGGAGGGAATGCGCGGAGGAGGTCAGCAGGAGGACGGGAGGCCGTGCGAATGTATCCGCCGTTGAGGAATGCCTGCGTGAGGGAATGGAGAGTTTGCATGCCGTTGTGGATGGCCGTCGTCGTTGGAGGCCTCAGCGGTATGCTCTGGTCGCTAAGGATCCTGAAGATGGCCCTCCCGAAGTTATTTCCGTTGGAGCTCCTCCACCACTCCCGGGCCAGAAAACGCAAGGCTCTTTACAGGAATTATCATTGGGGGATCCAGAGAAATTGTCAGAAGGAGGTGCAGGAGGAGGAACCGGATTGGGATCAGAACAAATGCAGCCTGAAGAATTGGCCGTCACCAAACAGAACGAGTCAGAGGTTGAAGGCGAATTAATTCGCGATGAAAACAACAGTGAGCTCGAGAAAAAAGTATTAGTTGATTCAGATCTAACGAAATCCCAGACGATGAATGTGCCGGAGATTCAGCCGGAAGCGGTTGGTTTATTGCTTCCTTCACGTGATGGTCGAGCTGCTGGCATTCCGGGAGGAGATTCCTCTGAGTTGTCCTCTGAAGTTTCTCGATTGTCTGAAGCCAGCGGAACAGGAGGAGACGACCAACAAAAAAATACACCTGGCAAAGAAAAACAAGCAGCAGCAGAAACACAACCAGTGCCAGTGGCACACTCTAAACCGTCAGGAAGTGCAGGAACTGTGCCAGGAGAAGGAGGACGGTTAGAGGATCTACTGCCACAAGCACCAGTTAAGGAAACCGCTCCAGCAGCTCCATCACCGAGGGAATCATTTCACACCGCATCGTCACCAGCAAAGGAGGGCACAGAAAGCACGCAGCCAGCCGACGTTCTTCTGAAACAGGGCAACATACCAACAACAGATGCCACACAAAATGCGACAACCGAGGGTCAGGAGGAAACAACTTCATCATCTTCTGCGGCGGATGACGATAATGCTGTCACCAATGACGCTGACGAGGGCAATGAAGAGAATTCGGGCGATGATTCCGCATCTCGTGCCGCAGTGCCAGACGAAAAACAACAACGTGAACGAGAGGATGGCAACGAGAAGGAAAGAGCACCAGCAGCAACGCCACAAGTAAAAAATGAAGACCTCGGCTCTGCAGATGTCGTTTCAGTGCAACAGGAACAGAAAACCCAAAGCGGCCTGGAGTCAGGGAATGAGTCAAGAAAAGAAGACAGTGTTCTCACCACAAACAAACAACAGGATGGAACATCTGACAGCCATGCCGAATCAACTCCAACATCACGCTCATCAGCAAAAAGTGTTGGCGCCAGTAATGGCCCTGACAAGGCTACTGAAGAGGAGATTTCCAATACAAATACAGCACGTGTTGATGCAGTACCAGAAGCAGCACAAGATGATGGAAATAAAGATGACAATAAAAAAGAAACACCAGTCGAATCCACAGCTATTGCAAATGATACGACTCCAACTAGCGACAGTGACGGCAGCACCGCGGTCTCCCACACCACCTCCCCTCTTTTGCTTCTTCTTCTTGTTGTTGTTGCGTGTGCGGCTGCTGCTGCGGTGGTGGCCGCGTGAGAGTGAGGGAGAGAGAGCCGTGCACCGCCCGCACACACACTCTTCCTTCACTCTCTCTGTGTGTGTGTCCCCTTGCATGGACTCTCGCCCTCACCTCATCCCACGAAGCACACACATAATGTGCCCATTGTATATATGCATGCACACCCATGCATGCCCGTTGGTGCTCTCTTTTGCACCACACGCACCGCTGCCGTCCTGCCTGGCTGCATGGGCGGAGCACCGTAACTGTTTTTGTTTTGTTTTTATTGCATTGAGTGGGCGACCTCTCTCTCTCTCTCTCTCCCTGTGTGTGTGTTTTGCTTTACGGGAGCAATGAGAGTGTGTGCGCTGGTCGTCCCACTCTTTTTTTTGTTGTTTTACTTTTGTTGTGGTTGAGTGCACCCATTAGCCTTGTTTTTAGATTGGTGGTTTGCTTTGACTGCGGACACGTGACCTTTTTGTTTTTTTCTTTTCTTTATTTTGATAGACTGGGAGTATTTCTTATTCTTGTCAAGCCATGAAGTGTTTTCTTTTACGTACCGCATGTGTCAGTTGATCCACGTCACCCCACGGTCCGCAGTGCTGCTGGTGCTTCTGGTTGTGATGATGTTTGTGATGTGTTGTGCCGGCGGGTGCTTTGCTGCCAGCCTGACGTACTCCTGCTCCTCTGACAAAGCGGTGCGTGCGGACAGGGCGAAGTCGATCCCGGCTGTGGTGAGGGACGTGCCTTTTGGATCTGAGGGTGCGTCGCAGACATGCAGCGTCATTGGGAGGAATGGATGGGCGCCCACCCGCATCGATGTGTCGACAAGGGACCTGGATGATACCAGGAAGTATTGCAGCTCAGGGCTGTATTGTACAATGAATTCATTGGTGGCAATTGCGAGTGTGAAGGTGACGTTTTTCTATGCTGAGAAAAGGGAAATATTTGTTTCGTTATACTTTGCAGCCACTGTTCGTTAATGGCCTGCGGGCTGTCCGTAGCGATGTGGCCAGTTTTTCCGTCTTGGACGATGCTGTCGTGCGAGAGGGTGTGTTCCCAAATAGTCGGATGCTCAGTTGTCGAGGACGGCGGCATTCCCACAGCGTGTGCGGCAGGGCCTCCCGTGGATTATCGGGGGCTCAGCGGCTGGTGGGAGTTGCAGCGGAGGAGTGGCTGAAGGGCTACGGCTGTCATTGGAGCTTGCAGAGGTGCGTTGTCCGTCTTTTGCTCGTTGATACGCTTGACATTTTTGGTAGTGACCTGCGCGTGAGGCATTTGTTGGGAAGACCGTGGAGCTGTCGCAGAATCCACATGTGAGGCCTTCTGCAACGATTGGAGTGCCAGGGTTAGTGCGTCGGGCATGTGCCTTCATATTGTGGATGGACGAGAAGACGCTGCTGCAGCTTGGGCAGGGCGACGTTGATCCGCTGCTCGTCATTCTACGAGGAGGTGCCGTGGACACGCCAGGTGGAGGTTCCGGAGGAGGTCGGGGCGGTCCTGCCTCTTCAGTGTGAGTGGGGCAGCACCACCGACATAAAGGGTTGCTTGTAATCTGCAGGGCGCGTGCCGGTCTGCCGAAGAGTGGGCAGGAGGACGTCAATCAGCCGCTTGCTGGTCGGCAAGGAGTGGCGGTGCTCACGTCGGGAAGAGGTTACGGCGGAGGCAGAGCACAGACGCGGCCCCAACAGCACCGCAGCACAGCCGATCCCAGAGGGCAGGAACGTGGTGCCGCCATGCCTTGGAGCATCACAGGCCTGGGCTCGAGAGGGCACCAAGCTGTTTCGCACGGACCTCTGACAGCATGGAGAAGCCACGGTGGAGGGCATGATTGCGGTCCTCCCGTTTGTGGAGCATTTCAGCTCGGGGCAGGCTGCCGCTGCAACACACTCGGCCTGCTCCATTCCGTCCGTCCAGTTTCCTGTGGGACTGTCATGGCTGCCGCTCGCACGGTGCCTCGGTGCATCTCAAACCATGTGGTCACAGTGGCCAGAGACGTTCCACACGCCGAGGTGGAAGCATCACAGTCAGCTTCACGCAGCACAATGGCGACATGATTCCGTCGTGGCAGCATGCCTGCCTGTCGCGGGATGCCGTCCTCCGTCCCTGCAGTGTGGGATGGCAGATGGTGGTCCGAGTCCATGTAAACGGGTGGACGTTTAGTGGGAGACACGCAGTACGCGTTGCGCAGTCACGTCGGGAAACGATACGCTGCAGCCGCTGATCCACATTGCCTGTGCCGGGTCGTCGGAAAGCTCAGCTTCCATGCCGCTTGGGGTGGCGGCGAGGTCCTCTCCTGCCGTCGTTGATGGTGAGCAACCGTCCCGCAGCTCATGGTGTGAATTCAGGTCGCAAATAACCGCTGCGGGGCCTAAGCGACGAATGTTGCTCGCAAAGTGAGCAGCGTGAGCCATTGCCGTGGGAAGGCTGCAGAGGTTCACCACGTACATGCTGGAGCAGGCCGGTGGGCACACGCGGAAGGCGGTGGTCTCCACGCAGTTGGTACCACGAGCGACAAGCGCTCGCAGGGCAATGTGTGGCGCACCAAGAGGGCCACGCCACCGGCACGACCACTGCAGGCCTGGCGGAAGTCACCGCAGCCAATGAACCTCGTCGCTGGAGCACTCTGGTGCCTGCACTCCTGCAGAAGAACCATGCCGGGATGGTGCTGCGCCAGTCGAGCAGCAAGGGCAATCCTGAGGGGCAAAGGCCCTGAAGTGCTGAGCTGCCAGATAACTACGAGGCCATCCTCATCGAGCTGCGGCTCTTGCGGACACCACCGCAGCGGATGATGCCGACGGAGTGACCGCAATGAAACGACTGTGCGGTTCTGTCAGTCGGACTGCAAGAAAACCGCCTCGCCGCTCCACAACCGACACAGCGCGGGACCTTCTCGAGGGGTGACGCCGTCGTGGTCCCCATCACGCTCGCTGAAATGCCCTGCTGCAATCACTCACACAGAGAGACAACAAATAGTGTGTGGATGTGTGCCGAGAACACACAGCGACTGCCATCGCCAGAGGAGTCCATCGTGGCGCCGTCCGTCACGCGTCAGCACACACCGAGCAACGCCCACAACCGGAAGTGCAAAAACAACGAGGAGAGAGGAATGGTCCCAAGAGCAGTCAACACCTTCACACACGGCGGGCATCGTGCAGCCGTGTTGCCATTTCAGCACGGGACGCAAGCCCACGCCCCGCTGTCGCCAAGAGCATTCATGCACACCACTGTGCAAATACTTGCGCGTTTGTGCTGGAGGAGCAGAAAAGAAGTGTTCTGCTGCCGGTGCTGAGGCTGAGTGTGAGAATTATACTTTCAGCGGCTTTGGTGTGCACATGCGTAGCAGGAATGGTGAGCTGGGTGCTGTGTGCCATGTGGCCAATGCGGTGCACACATGTAGCAACTGTGCTGCCAGCTGTGCAACGAAAGAGGAAGGGGCCACCGTTGCCTTCACGATGAATGTGACGGCACATAAATACGCCGGCCCTTATGAATTGTGGTGGCGTCAATTTTCCTCTCGATGGAACCATCCATCCGCCTGCGCGGAGCAGCGATGCTGACCAGACGGGCATCTGTCAGTTGCCGCCACCCCGTGAAGGGAAGGATGACACAAAATCTGGTGGGACAACTGCGCCGCAAGTTGATGCTGAGCCGTCACGTCAACACGAGGATTGGCGACAGTCTGCGGCGGCTGACGGACCCAACACCGTCGATCCGAGTCCCGCATCCAACACGGCGACCAACACGTCCGAGACGAGGCCTGAGTTTGCCAGCAATCCGAACGAAGTGATGCTCCCGAATGCATCCAAGAAGAGGCCTTCCTTTGCCAACGGTCCGAGAATATTAGTGGCGCTGAATGCATCTGGGATCATGTCTGTCACTTATGGCGGCAGGGAACACGTTGCTGCGGATAACACGGACGAGGTGAGTGAGCGCAACGCCACTGGACACAAATCTATCGTTTTAGAAAATGGCGTTGCAGGCGGTGGATTTGTTGCTGAGGGTGATGCGGACGGATTGACTCAACGCAATGTCTCTGGACACGATAACAAACCCCAATTACGAGAATTCACCGCGCAGTATTCCGGGAGCGGTGTGAGTCCCGACGACTGCTTTGCCCTGCTCAACGACGCGAAATTGACACTGCGTGAGTTAACTGTTGACGGCACTGTGCGTGTGTGCGTGTATTGGGCGTTGCTGCTTCTTTTGGGATTGTGTGGAGTTGTGGCGGACTTCTGAGCCGAAGAGTGTGGAATTGCGACTCCTCACGGAGAAAATGTGCCGCGTTGCATGCGTGTTTTCTTTTATTATTTACATTTTGCTGTTTGTTTTGTTGTTTTCCTGGAATAATACGTATCCTTGCTGTTCCTTTATTCAATGGTCGGTTGCTGCACACTGTAATGTGTGACGTGTTTCTCCCTCTACTTGTTTTGTTTTTGTTGCCCACACGCGGTGCCGGCCTCATTGCTGTGCGTCCCACGGACTGCACGAAAGGAGGATTGGAGGAACAGGCCGGATGCCGCAATGAAGTGTGAAAAGCGTTGTGGACTGGTGGAACCGGACGATCTTTTTTGTTTAATTTCTCTTCTTGGTGAAGGCATTATGTATACAGACACACACGGTTGTCTTGTGCTGCTTAGCATAAGAAATAAGAGTGCTGCCCGATTGTTTTTTTTTTAATTTTTGGGAGTTTTGTTGGACTCCCATCATTTTCCTTTTTTTCTTGTTTTGTATTTTCTTTGACTTTGAAGTTTTGGTTTGGGGGTCGGTGTGCGAGTTCTGCGTTTGTGATGATTCCATTTGTCCTTTTTGGTGTGCGCTTCTTGTGGCTGCTGCCATTTATTACCATGCGGTGGCTGTGCGTGGTGTAGCTGCTGTCTCTCTCTACTTCCTTTCTCATGCTCCTGCAGATCGAATCCACGTTATTCAACAACGATAGTTTCGACGATGATGCACCGTGTGTTTTGTGTCGTGTTGGCGCTTACACTGCTGTGCTGCTGCTCGTGCGTGTTTGCCGTGGAGGAGGAGGAGGAGGATGAGGAGGTGCTACCGGTGAATGCA